GGTTTCCCAGGGGGAGGATCCAGCAGCTTGGCGCGAAAAAGATACCTACGCAGCATCAACAATGTCCACTCCGCTACCTCGGCCTCGCACCAAAACTCACCACCGATCACCTTCACCGACGATGACTACACTGGCGTCTGTCCAAATCAAGATGACCCTATGGTCATCGCTGTGGAGGTCGCCAATTAGGAGGTCCACAAGATGCTGATCGACCAAGGCAGCTCGGTTGACGTCCTATACTGGCCGACGTTCCTCAGGTTAGACATCCCTCATTCCCTCATCCAACCTCACATAGAACCCCTAGTCGGTTTTGCAGGAGAGCGAGTTCACACTCGAGGGTATGTATACCTGCTGACAACCTTCAGGACCTCTCCTAAATCAAGGCAGATCATGGTCCGATATCTCCTCGTAGAAGCCAACACGTCCTACAACATAATCATTGGAAGGCCGACGTTGAACCAACTCGGGGCAGTGGTGTCTACCCCACACTTCACAATGAAATTCCCAGGGAGTGATGGTAAGGTCATCTCTGTCAGGGCGAACTAAAAGACAGCTCGGCAATGCTATGCCGAAAGTTTGAAGGTCTCACCATACGAGGAGTGCTGCAAAAGTGACCCTCCGACAGTGGCTCATATCACCCACGTGGCCATCACTGACCTGGATCCGAGGTTAGAATCCCATGACGAGCAGCCAAGTCCCATTGACGAGCTCGACGATCTTCAAGTCGGAAAACTCCCTGGACAATGTACAAAGATAAGCCGACAGCTAAACTCGGAGTTACGGCAGTAACTTGAAGCCAAAATCTCCAAGAATGCCGACCTCTTTGCATGGTCCAACATCGACATGCCAGGTATCGATGATAACTTTATCTGTCACAGGTTGGCAATCATCAAAGAGGCAAAACCGGTGGCCTAGAGGAAGCGGAAGGTCGACGGTGAAAGGCAAGAAGCTATCATCACCGAGACACAAAAGCTGCTAAGTGCGGGTTTCATCCGCGAGTTCAGATACACCACGTGGCTGACAAACGTGGTATTGGTGAAGAAGAGCTCGGGGAGGTCGCGCATGTGTGTCGACTACACCGACCTGAACAAAGCATGCCCCAAAGATCATACCTCTTACCGAGCATCGACAGGCTAGTCGACGGAGCATCTAGGCACGCCCTCCTTAGCTTTCTTGATGCTTACTCTGGGTACAACTAGATCATGATGTACCCACCAGACGAGGTGCACTCGTCGTTCATCACCGACCATGCCAACTTTTGCTACCGATTGATGCCATTCGGTCTAAAAAATGCAGGGGCCACTTACCAACGACTGATGGACAAGGTTTTCCACCAACAGATTGGGTGGAATATGGAGGTCTACGTTGACGACATGGTGGTCAAAACCAACTCTGCCGAAGGTCATGCTGCCAACTTAGCCGAGGTGTTCAGTTAGATCAGGAAGCAGAACATGCGTCTCAACCTAGAGAAGTGTGTCTTCGGTGTCCACGGGGGCAAATTCCTTGGCTTCATGATCACCAACAGAGGCATTGAGGCCAACCCGGAGAAATGCAAAGCCATCATCCAGATGCAGAGTCCCTAGACTGTAAAAGACATCCAACGCCTGGCAGGAAGGGTGGTCTCTCTTTCACGTTTCATCCCCAGGTTGGCGGAGAAAGCAGGGCCCATCTTCACCCTGCTGCGAAAGCCAAAGAATTTCGAATGGATAGACCAATGCGAAGAGGCTTTCAAGAGCTTCAAAGCTTTCCTCACGACTTCGCCAATCCTCTAGAGGCCGGATCACCATGTCGACCTCCTTCTCTACCTGGCCGTGGCAGAAGGCGCAATCAGCGCAGTTATAGTACAAGAGCACCAGAAAGTGTAGACGCCGATTTACTTCATCAATCGAGTTCTCCAAGACACGGAGAAACGATATCAGATGATTGAGAAGCTCGCACTGGCACTTGTCACCGCAGCACGGCGTCTCCGACCTTACTTACAAAGCCACCAGGTAGTCGTCAAAACCGACTACCCAATCAAACAAATCCTGAGAAAGTCGGAGCTCGCCGGACGAATGATATCATGGTCGGTAGAACTGTTTGAGTTCAGCATCAAGTATGAAAGCCGCAGCCCCCTGAAAGCCCAGTGCCTAGCAGATTTTGTGGCCGAACTGACTCCAACCTCGGCTGACGAACAACAGGTATGGATTTTACATGTTGATGGATCCTCCAACTCTAAGGGTGGTGGTGCAGGTATTATTTTGGAAGGGCCAAATCAAGTTACCTTAGAGCAATCTCTCAAGTTTGACTTCAAAGTGACAAACAACCAAGCGGAATACGAAGCGCTTCTTGCAGGGCTAGGGTTAGCTCACAATCTCGGAGCACGGAGAGTGAGTTGCAACAGCGACTCAAAGCTCATGGTAGAGTAGCTCAGCGGGGCATACCAGACCAAGGACACCCTTCTAAAAAGGTACTTCCATGTGGCATCACAGCAGATCTCATCCTTTGACGAGTTCACCATACATCACGTACCGCGAGAACAAAATGCCAGAGCCGACCTCTTATTGAAACTCGCCAGTACCAAACGCCCAGGGCAACATCGTACCATCATCCTGGAGACCCTGCATTCACCTAGCTTAGACAACAAGGTCGTCAACACCAGTGATAGCGGAGACCACGGATGGATGACAGGTATTTGGAATTACTTAAAGGAGGGAACTTTACCCGAGGATAAAGATGAAGCTCGGAAGATGAGGGTAAGGTCAGCTAAGTTCGTCATTGTCGGAAACGAACTGTTCAAACGCGGCATATCTGCCCCATTGCTCAAATGCCTGGCCGAGCCTCAAGCTACGTATGTCATCGAGGAAATACATCGAGGGATATGCGGTATGCACTTCGGAGCACGCTCAATGGCGAACAGGGTACTCCGAGCTGGATACTACTAGCCCACATTGAAGTCGGATTTCCAAACCTATGTGCAAAGATGCAAGGAGTGTCAACAGTTCGGCAATACGCATCGACAGCCACCCGAAGCACTCCACCAGATGATGTCGCCGTGGCCTTTCGCCTAGTGGGGAATGGACATCCTAGGACCCTGCAAAGGGTCAGCTCAAATTCCTCTTAGTGGCAATCGACTACTTCACCAAGTGGATCGAGGCATGCCCACTCGCCAAGATCACCACTGAGAACGTACAAAAGTTCACCTGAAAGAGCATCGTATGCAGGTTTGGAATTCCACATTCCCTTGTTACTGATAACGGCCGACGGTTCATTGTGTAGAGCATCGAGGACTTCCTTCGGGAACTCGGAATCAAGCACCTCCCGCCTCGGTGGAACATCTGCAGGCCAATGGCCAAGCCGAAGCTGCAAACAAGGTGATACTCCGAGAGCTCAAGAAGTGGCTAGGGAGCGCCAAAGGACAATGGGCCGACAAACTTCCCAGCATCCTCTAGGCGTACCATTGCACCCCCCAAATGGCTAAGGCCAAGGAATCCAAGAGGTGATATCTTAAAAGAACCAAGAGGAATGGGATGATCTTAAAGACCTTTTCATATGTTTGTACATATAGTAGTTTCTTTGTATAGACTTATTTTTGCCTTTGCATTTGTGAGGCACTTTACTTGCTTTTATTAGTGATTGTATATTGTTTTTAGGGTGGGTTACTTGGAGAGTTTAACTCCATTTAACCTCCTTTGTTGATACATTCATTTTATATTTTTTCAGTAGGGAAAAAGGGGTGGCATTTAGCAATGCTTGAGGGTGTGACTAGTAATTGGGCCAGAACTGGGCCTAGGCAAAATTTTGCATATTAGACTCATTTTGCTCCTAATTTTTCATAGATTTGATTTAGCTAGGTCTCATCATCATATGATGAACCTAACTAAACCAAATCAAATATTTTTGAAATAAATCATGGAGCATTTTTGAGCCTTGGCCGCCTAGCTCATTCCTTTTGTTCTTGGCCGAAATTTCTAGCTTCTCCTTCAAGCTTTGAAGCTTGCCTTCCAAGTTTCTAAACCTTGGTAGGTTAGGCTGACCTTACCATGGTTCTTAAGTGAACCATGGTCAAGGTTAGCTTCTCCTACAAGTTTTAGAAACCATGGATGGTTAGCTACATCTTACCATGGTTCCTAGTGAACCATGGTTAAGGTTAGCTTCTCCTAGAAGCTACCTCTCCCTATAAATTTGTAAATCCCTCTCTTGTAATCACTTTTGAACATTTTGAGAAATGGAAATCAGAATTTGACTCAAATTCTCTCCTCTTAAAGTCCTAAATTTCATGGAGAAACTTTCTCTCTAAGTTTTTCTCAAAGGTTTCCAACCTTTTAGCTTGTTCAACAAGCTTCATCACTCTTTCATGGAGTAACCGAACCTCCTTCGTGATTCTTCTCCATTGAAACTTCTTCAAAGGAGTTCCTCATCCAAATTCGTAGTCAACCTCAAGAGTTTAAAGGTCTTGGAATGGAGCACTTGAAGATTCATAAATCTTCTCCAAGTAGTTCCATCAGTTTAGAAACCATGGATGGTTAGCTACACCTTACCATGGTTCCTAGTGAACCATGGTTAAGGTTAGCTTCTCCTAGAAGCTACCTCTCCCTATAAATTTGTAAATCCCTCTCTTGTAATCACTTTTGAACATTTTGAGAAATAGAAATCAGATTTCTTTCTCACTCAAGAGTCTTGAAAACCGTAGAGAACTCTCTAAGGTTTCTATCAAAGTTTTTTCAAACTTTGCGTTGGTTCCTCAAGCTTCCTTCACAAGCTAGGAAGTAACCGAACCTATTCTATTGCTTCTCCACCATTGGAGAATCCTCCAAGGTGACTCCGCAACCTCAAAGGAGTTCTATCTCAAGAGTTCTTCGGTCATTTGCATGGGAAACTTGACGAATCAACTTTCTTCTCCAAGTGCTTCCGTCAGTTTTGGTATCTGGAGCCTAGTGCTCTTGAGGCTATGTGTTTCTAATTTTTTCTTCATTGAATCCGTGTTGTTCAATGTGGAGTTGTATGATGTTATTGCCGCTATGAGGTGCTATTATTGCCACTATGCGATGCTATTATTGCCACTATGTGGTGCTGTTATTGCCGCTATGCGGTGCTATTATTGCCACTATGTGGTGCTGTTATTACCGCTATGCGGTGCTTTTATTGCCGCTATGCGGTGCTGTTATTGCCATTATGTGGTGCTGTTATTGCCACTATGTGGTGCTGTTATTGTCGCTATGGGATGTTGTTATTGCCACTATGCAGTGCTGTTATTGCCATTATGCGATGCTATTATTGCCACTATGTGGTGCTGTTATTACTGCTATGTGGTGCTGTTAATGCTGCTATGCAGTGCTGTTATTGCTGCTATGCGGTGTTGTTATTGCTAAATGCTGTGATATATTATGGGCTAATGTTGTTAAGCTGGCTGATATACTGATAGTTGTAGCTGTTTACCATTCATATTTTATATATGTATGTTGATTTCTTTCACTAGCTTAGCCTTTGTTGTTTCCATATGGTTTGGACTGCAATGATCATACTATGTATGGGAGCAGAGCAGGGTTAGGTTGGTGTGCTGAGGAGAGTCTGCAACTGACAGATGGCGTTTGTTTTT